GCTGTATTCAGTGCGATCTAACCTTGCTAACTAGTCTACCATGAGGAACCTTGTTGAATGCCTTACAGAAGTCCATACAGATCACGCCCAACGCTGTGCCTTCATCAACGTTGGCCAGTCTCCAGACTTCCAGCACTCACCTGTGGCTATTAATGATACAGAAGTCTCAGCAAGGGGACCAGAAGTCTCTTCCCGTGCTTCCCACTGAGTTCTATGGTACACCTGATCAGGTCCCAGGGATTTATTCATCTTTAAGCATTTTAAGACATTCAGCATCTCCTCGTCTGTAGTATGGATATTTTTCAAGGCATTGCTATTTATTTCGTTCTCTATCTTCCATATCCTTTTCCACATTAAACACTGGTGTAAAATACTCATTTAGTATCTCCCCCATCTCCTGCAGTTCCACACATAGACAGCCTTGCTGATCTTTATGGGGCCCTATTCCCTCCCTAGTTACCCTTTTGTCCTTAATGTATTTGTAGAATCCCTTTTGGATACTCCTTAATCCTATTTGCCAAAGCTGTTTCGTGTCCACTCTTTGCCCTCCTGCTTTCCCGTTTAAGTATACTCCTACTGCCTTTATACTCTTCTAGGGATTCACTCAGTCCCAGCTGTCTATACCTGACATATGCTTCCTTCTTTTTCTTGTCCAAAGGCTCAATTTCTCTCGTCATCCAGCCTTGCCCTTCATCCTAACAGAAAATACTGTACTTGGATTCTCATTATCTCATTTTTGAAGCTTCCCATTTTCCAGTTGTCCATTTACATGCAAATATCTGCCTCATTTCAACTTTTGAAAGTTCTTGCCTAACACCATCAAAATTGGCCTTTCTCCCCTTTAGAACTTTAACTTTAACTTTTAGATCTGGTCTATCCTTTTCCATCACTATATTAAAATTAATAGAATTATGGTCGCTGGCCCGAAAGTGCTCCCCCACTGACACCTCTGTCACTTGCCCTACCTATTTCCCAGGAGTAGGTCAGATTTTGCACCTTCTCTGGCAGGTACATCCACGTACTGAATCAGACAATTTTCTTGTGCACTCTTAACAAATTCTTCTCCACCAAGCCCTTAACACTATGGCAGTCCCAGTCTATGTTTGGAAAGTTAAAATCCCCTACTATAACTGCACACACCCCCACCCCACCACTGCCACCGCCCCCACCTTCCCCCCCCACCCCCCCACCATTCCCCATTCTTACAGATAACTGAGAGTCCTTACAAGTTTGTTTCTCAATTTCCCACTGATGTTGGAGGGAGGTGAGTTCTATAGTACAATTCCAACAAGGTGATCATCCCTTTCTTATTTCTCACTTCCACCCAAATAACTTGCCTGGATGTATTTCCAGGGATATCCTCCTTAAGTACAGCAGCAATGTTATCCTTACCTAATAGGTTTAAACAATCGCCTTAGACTGTGACCCCTGATAAAACCACAACTTTTTATTTCCTGTCCGCTGTCCTCCTCACCCATCACAACTTTCCTTCCTAACCTCCACTAGCCTCCCTGTTATCTAATGCAATTCTCTTGAAATCCCATGCTCAGGCAGGTGGGACTGGAGCCAAGATCCTCTGATCCAAAGGTTTGGACTATACCGCAGCATCACATGAGACAGCCATCTCACTCCTACCAGCTTTTGCTCAAAAATATTCAACTGAATTTTACCAGAAATCCATGTCAATTTTGGTGAGTTTCATGGAGGGTTTCTTTCTGTGAAACCTGAGAGATTTCTCACATTATCTTCCCAAACTCAGCTCCTTACCTGTGCACCAGGACCGATTGTGTCGTGCTCCTAATATCCTTCCTCTCTTTGGGGAGGGTTGCCGCAGTTGGGATCTCCATGATTGCTGCCATCGCTGTAGCAGGTCAAGCACTGTCAGCAGTCACGGACCTGATCCAGGGCTGCTCCTGCAGAGCTGTTCAGGAATTGTCCCAGACCAATGTTGGTTAGAGGGAAATTGACATCCCGCTGTGCCAACAGGGACCTGGAGATCCAGGTGGATGGGGTGGCAGAGAGGAGGGTAGTCCTCTTCCCTCAGGACCAGCTGAGGAGATCATACCATTAGACGGTGCCAGTCTGGTCTGAAGTTGGCACCCAGGCCAGTGAAATGACCAACTATCCAGGAAGGGGGTCAGTAAGCATATGTGAGTGTTGTAGCACCACTCAATAAGTTAAAGCTAGGTAGACATGAATAAGATTCAGATGACTCGAGTAGGCTAGCTTTGCTAACCAGCAACTCTCAAGAATACAAGAAGTCAGAGCAGGCCCATTGAGCCCGTTCCTTTCATTTCAATCATGGTTGATCATCAGCTTCGCTTTATATTCCTGCCCACTCCCCATATCCCTTGAATTCCTGAGGGACCACACATCAGTCTATTCCAGCTTTAAAGAATGCAATGCAGGTGCAGAATTTCCAGATTCACAAATCCTTTGAACTAATTTTTCCGCATCTTAGTTCTAAATTATTATCTACTATTTATCAAACTGTGTTCTTATATTCTAGAAACCAGCTGGGGGAAGTAACCTCAGTGTCTTCCTATCTGGCCTCTTCATAAATTTGAAGGTTTTATTACTATCACTTTTCGTCCCTCTAAACCTTGGAGAACGTAGACCCAATTTATTATCCTATTGTTCTAGCCTTGTAAAGAAAACTGGTTTCTGCCACTAATAGGGGCTTTAATAGGCAAAGTAACAAAGTGTCTCTATTTTCAATGTTTCATGAATAGCTCTGCTCATCAAGATTGTTACTAATTGAGTGCCTCAGGTACCCAATGTCAACGAAAGGCTCTCTTAGTTTAAGAGCACTTTGTCACCACTGTTCTATAGTTAGGACAACAAAATATGTGCAACTTTTCCAACCAACATCCTTCTGGTCTCCCTGAAGTAGATAGGCTTCAGCTTTCCCCTATAGACTTACGGCTACTTGGTTCAGTCAGCCCAACCTTATTGCTCAGACATTTGAATATAGGAGTTGGGACATTATGTTGAGGTTGTACAGGACTTGGTGGGGTCTCTTCTGGAGTTCTGTCTCCAGTTCTGGTTGCCCTGTTATAGGAAAGATATTATTAAGAAAGAGAGAGTTCAGAAGGGATTTACCAGCATGTTGCTGGGAATAGAAGGTTTGAGTTATAAGAAGAGGCTGGATGGACTAGGAATTGCCTCACTGGAGCATAGGAGGCTGTGACCTTATAGAGGCTTAGAAAATAATGAGGAGTATAGATAAGGTGAATGGCAGGTGTCTTTTCCCTAGAGTGGGTGGGGAATTTCAAGACTAGGGGGTATATTTTTAATGTGAGAGGAGAAAGATTTAAAAAAGACATGAGGCAATTTTTTTATGCACAGAGTGGTTTGTGTGTGGAATGACCTTTCAGAGGAAGTGGTGGATGCGACTACAATTACAACATTTAAAAGACATTTGGATAAGTACATGAATAGGAAATGTTTGGAGGGATATGGGCCAAGCACAGGCAGGTGGGACTGGTTTTGTTTGGGATTATGTTTGGCATGGACTGGTTGGACTGAAGGATCTGTTTCTGTGCTGTATGACTCTGACTTGATTTAACAGGAACCAGGAATTGAACTCGTGATCCAGCAGTGAAAACATAATGTCCTGTGCTTTAACTCTGGGCTCTGCACTCCATCTCCTCCATGCTTGCATTATATTTCATTTGCAGTTTATAGTCTGTTTTTATGCTTATACAGAGGACCAAAGGGTCTGTTCCATGCTGTGTAGCTCTATGACTCTAAAATCCTGGAATTCCCGCCCTAATGGCATTGTGGGGGCCCCTATACCCAGTGACTGAAGAAGACAATTCACTAGCACCCTATCAATTATGGATGGGCAATAAATGTTCACTCAGTCAGCCAAGGCCTCATCCCCTGAAGGAATTTTGCAGAAGTCCAAGCAATCTGCTCAGCTCGAGGGCAATTAGGGAAGGGCAAAAATGCAGGCCTCATCACTGATACCTACACAGTATGAAAGAATAAAGGGAAAAGTATCTGCTGTAACTGTTGTATTTTGGACTTCACATCTATATGAGGATTGAAGAAAATAGAAAATCAAACATTAGCACTGGCCTATATTTGAATGAACTGATTACAATTGAGTCTAATTGTTTGATAACAAATAATATGGTGGTTGAAAGGAAACCTGGATGTCATTCGTTTTAAAAGGATCTCAAATCATTTGCTCCAGAAATCTGTTCCATTTGTTGAAGATAAGATCCGACACAATTCAAGATTTGTGAATTTTGTTATTTCATCCAAAGGTTATTAACCATTTTAATTAGCTTCCTTATTTATCTTCAATTAAAGGCTTACACCATCGCGTTCTTACCTCAGTAACTCAGTTGCCTCTTCTCAAAATTCTAGTAGATTTCTAAAGAATGCTCAGTTTTTCAAAAAACCATACTAATTTGTTTCAGAAACCTATCTGGTTCATAAATTGCCTTTAGGGAATGCACCATAATCACCTCTGACCAATGAGGGAGCAGTTTCTGGTCCAGCAGGACTATGGACACTTTCACTTTATAGTGTTAGGGAGATGGTGGCATAGTGGAATGTCACTGGAGAAGCAATCTAGAACCCCAGGCTGATGCTCGGGGGAAATCATTCGAATCTCACCATGGTAAGTCATGGCATTTGAATTCCATAAAATTCTGAGATAAATGGTGTCTCTGCTGATTGTTATAAAAGCCCATATGGTTCACTAATGTCCTGTAGGGAAGGAAATCTTCTGGCCTGCATATGATTCTAGATCCACACTAATGTAGTTGGCACTTAACTGAGCAATTAGGGGTGGGCAATAAATGTTGGTCTTGCCAGTGATGATCGCATCCCAAGAACGAATGAAGCAAAAAAAACCCCTGCTACTTGTGATTCCTGAAAGTTGGTTTTAGAGAGATCCTTTTAAGATTTTGATGAAGAAAAAAATCTGTTGTCTTCACGCTGGTTGAATCACTCTCGTTGAAACCTCCCTGTTTGTCTTTCTGAAGGAGAAAACAAAAATCATCGAGCCATTGGATTACGAGAATGTCATTGTACAACGGAAAGCGCAGATTCAAAGTGATCCTCTGCGGGATCTTCTACAGTTCCCTTTGGACGAGGTCTCGGTAAGTAAACTAATTTCTGCAGCCTGTGTACTGACTAGGTTTTAATGGTACTTCCAGGTTTTTCTCGTGGAGAGTAGTCATGGGTGAGGTAGTGGGAAGGTGGGGATTTGGACTCAGGAACATTAGCTACAGAAGCATGTCATTCAGCCCTTAATCTCTACCTCAATCCCTTTCATTGACCTTCACTCCATACCCCTTGATACCATTACTCAATCTTTAAAGTTCAAAATACTCCCAAATATCCACAGCCTTTTGGAGTTACCCTTTGAACTACCCTTGGAATGAAAATACTAGTTCCTACTTATCCTCCTGAAGGGACTGGCTTTAAATCTTAATTTTAAGATCAATGTCCTGATTATGGCTCCTTGTTCTTGGTTCTCTCACTGGATGATTTTTCTTTCCCCTTTTCATCTATTCAATTAATCTCTACAGTGTGGAAGCAGGCCATTCAGCCCATCGAGCCTACACTGACCGTCCGAAGAGCATCCCACCCAGACTCACCCCCTCTACCCTAACCCTGTAACCCTGCATTTTCCACAGTTAACCCACCTAGCCTACATATCCCTTGAGACTATTGGCAATTTAGCATGGCCAAGCCACCTAACCTGCACACGTTTGGATTGTGGGAAGAAACCGGAGCACTAGGATGAAACCCACGCAGACACGGGGAGAATGTACAAACTCCTCACAGACAGTCGCCTGAGGGTGGAATTGAACCTGGATCCCTGGCACAGTGAAGCGGGAGGGCTAACCGCTGGGCCCTTTTACTCTTTGAAACCTCTTAATCTGATCATTCTTCAGTCTTTTACTACAGTTAAGGGAAATGTGCACTAAAGTTGATGCTCAGTGAATCTTATCTCCCCATGAGAGAGGTTCAGGCAATGGAGGGAGAAAGATTAAAAATGTCTTGTTTAAGTTAGTGAAGAAAATGTGGACCCTTAGTACAATAAAACAAACCACAGTGCTTTAGAAGCCGAGCAATTGAAGTCTAGGGGAGCATGGCTTTGGTGAAGCTCTTGAAGAGGTATAGTTTGGGGAATTGTGGAGATTTGGGTAATCTCAGCTGAAGGGGTCCACCAGCAAAGTGATGTTTAAGAGGGAGAGAAACCTGAATGGGTGGAATTGATGGGCAAGTCATTGCGGGTGTGCTCACTGAGCTGTCAAGAAAGTTGAAGCCATGGTGTTTATTCAAATAAGTAAATATTTGGAAAAGGTCAATTTGGAAGAGTGCACGAATGGGCACTGTGACATAGCACTTTCAGAGAGCCTGTAAAAACGTGATGGTTTGAATGGCCTTCTTTGGCACCGATTGGAAAAACAGGGAGACACTGCAGATACAGTCAGGTAGGTAGTTGATCAGTAGGAATGGTAGTAACGGTAGCCAGGTAGTGCAGGAGTCTTCTGAGGCTATCCCCATCTCAAACAGGTACGTTGTTTTGGATACTGTCAGGGGAGTATAGTACTGACAACCAGGTTATGTGACTGGCTCTACTGTAATGAGGGGTATGTCAGGTTCCAAGTGATTTACTGTGGTGGGGTAATTCTGTAGTCTGGGGCACTGACAGACATTTCTGCAGCCATCAGTGAGACATCAGGATGGTGTGTTGCCTCCCTGGTGCCAGGGTCAAGGATGCCTCAGAGAGGGTGCAGAATATTCTGAAAGTGGAGAGTGACTAGCAAGAGATTGTTGTACACTTTGGTACGGAAAAGTTTTGCAGAGAGAATATGGGAAACTAGGCAAGAGGTTAGAAAGTAGGTCCTCCAGGGTAGTAATATCTGGACTAGTACTGGTGCTACGTGCAGGTGAGGGTAGGAACAGGAGGATACAGCGGATCAATGCGTGGCAGAGGAGCTGGTGCAGGGGGCAAAGATTTACATTTTTGGACCATTGGGATCTCTTCAGGGGTGGAAATGATCTGTATAAGGAGGACAGGTTCCACCTGAATTGAAAAGGGACCAAAATCCTTGCAGAGAGATTTACTAGAGCTGCTTGGAAACTAGTGGCGGAGCGAGGGTGGGAACCAAAGCACTCATGAGAAAAGGTGGAGGCTGGTGCAGTTGAGAAGAGAAGCAAGTTAAATAGCCAAAAAGGCAGGCAAGAGCAATGCAGAGAAGGAGGTAAGACCCGATAAATTAAACTTCATTTACTTCAGTGCAAGCGGCCTGGCAGGTAAGGCAGGTAAACTTAGGGTGTAATTGGGAACATGGGTCTGGGATATCATAGCTATGACAGAGACATGGCTCATGGATGGGTAGAACTGTCAGCTTAATGTTCCAGGGTATAGATGCTATAGGAAGAATAGAAAAGGAGGCAAGAGAGGAGGAGGAGTGATGTTTATGGTTGGGGATAACATTATGGTTGTATTTAGCGAGGATACTCCTGAGACGACATCCAGTGAAGTTATATGGATGGAACTGAGAAATAAGAAAGGGATGATCATCTTATTGGGATTATATTTTAGGCCCCCCAATAGTCAGCGGGAAATTGAGGAGCAAATATGTAAGGAGATCTCGGATATCTTTAAGAATAATGAGGTTGTAATGGTAGGGACTTTTAACTTTCCAATCATAGACTGGGACTGTCATAGTATTAAGGGCCTGGTAGCGAGAAATTTGTTAAGTGTGTACAAGAAAACCTTCTTATTCAATATGTGGATGTATCTACTGGAGAAGGTGCAAAACTTGACCTACTCTTGAGAAATAAGGCAGGGCAGGTGACTGAGGTGTAAGTGGGGGAGCACTTTGGAGCAAATGATCATAATTCTATTAGTTTTAAAATAGTTCTGGAAAAGGATAGAACTGATTAAAAAGCTAAAGTTCTAATTTGGAGCAAGGTCAATTTTGAAGGTAATAGACAGGAACTTTCAAAAGTTGGTTTGGGGAGGCTGTTTGCAGGCAAAGGGACAATTGGGAAGTGGGAGGCCTTTAAAAATGAGATAACGAGAGTCCAGAGACAGTATGTTCCTATTATTGTGAAGGGCAAGGTTGGTAAATGTAGGGAATGCTTGTTGACTAGACAAGTTGAGGCTCTGGTCAAGAAAATAAAGGAAGCCTGTCTCGGGCATAGACAGTTTGGATCAAGTGAATCCCTAGAGGAGTATAAGAGTAGTGGGAGTACACTTAAAAGGGAAAGCAGGAGGGCAAAAAGAGGACAAGTTGTAGAGCTGGATGAACACAGCAGGCCAAACAGCATCAGAGGAGCAGGAAGGCTGACGTTTTGGGCCTAGACCCTTCTTCAGAAAAATGAAGAATAGCTTGGCCTGCTGTGTTCATCCAGCTCTACACGTTGTTATCTCAGATTCTCCAGCATCTGCAGTTTGTAATATCTCTGGGGCAAAAAGAGGACATGAGATAGCTTTGGCAAACAGGGTTAAGGAGAATCCAAAGAGATTTAAGATGTACATTAACAACAAAAGAGTAACTAGGGAGAGAATAGGGCTCCTTAAAGACCAAGGTGGCCATCTGTACATGGAACCATAGGAGATGAGTGAGATACTAAATAAATATTTTACGTCAGTATTTACTTTGGAGAAAGATATGGAAGCTAGGGAACTTGGTGAAATAAATAATGATGTATTGAAAGAGTTCATATTACAGAAGAGGTCCTGGAGGTCTTAAAATGTATAAAGCTAGATAAATCCGCAGGATCTGATGAGGTGTTTCCCAGAACTTTGTGGGAAGCTGGGGAAAAGATTGCTGGACCCCTTGATGAGATATTTGTATCATTGACAGCCACAGGTGAGGTGCTGGAAGACTTGAGAGTGGCTAATGTTGTGCCATTATTTATGAAAGGCTACAAGGAAAAGCCAGGGGACTATAGATCAATGAGTCCTGTGTCAGGGGTGGGTAAGTTGGTGAAGGGAATTTAAAGTTTTGATAAAGATCTGTAGCTCGGGTTGTGGTGGAGGGAATTCTGAGGGACAGGATTTACATGCATTTAGTAGGGCTATGACTGATTAGGCATAGTCAACATGGCTTAATGCATGGAAAATTGTCTCTCACAAACTTGATTGAGTTTTTTGAAGAGGTGATGAGGAAGATTGATGGAGGCAAGACAGTAGATGTTGCCTATGCAGACTTCAGCAAAGCGTTCAACAAGGTTCTGCATGGTAGACTGATAAGTAAGGTCAACCCTATGCGATCCAGGGAGACCTAGCCAATTGGATAGAAAATTGGCTTGTAGGTAGGAGACAGAGGGTGGTGATGGAGGGTTGCTTTTCAGACTGGAGACCTGTGACCAGAGATGTGCCGCAAGGATCGGTAGTGGTCCACTGCTTTTTGTCATTTATATAACTGATGTGGATGTGAATATGGGAGGAATGGTTAGTAAGTTTGCAGATGGCACCAAAATAGGTGGTGTAGTGGACAGTGAAGGACATGATCTCAGAGGACAAGGGGGCTTTGATCATATGGGCCAATGGGCTGAAGAGTGGCATATGGAGTTTAATTTAGATAAATGTGAGGTGCTAAATTTTGGTAAGGCAAACCAGGCAGGACTTGTACAGTTGATGGTAGGTACTGGGGTATGTTAGTGAACAAAGAGACCCAGGGGTGCAGGTGCATAGTTCCTTCAAAGTGGAGTCGCAGGTAGACAGGGCGGTGAAGAAGGCGTTTGACATGCTTGCCTTCATTGAGTATCGGAGTTGGGAATTCATGTTGCGGCTATACAGGACATTGTGAGACAACTTTTGCGCACAATTCTGGTTGGCCTTCTATAGGAAGGATTTTGTTAAACTTGAGAGGGTACAGAAAAGGTTTACAAGTATGTTGCTGGTACTGGAGGTATTGAGTTATAGGGAGAGGCTGAATAGGCCAAGGCCTTTTTCCCTGGAGCGTTGGAGGCTGAGGGGTAACCTTGTAGAGGTTTATAAAATCACGAGGAACACGGATAGGGTTAATAGCCAAGGTCTTTTTCCTGGGGTGGGGGAGACCTAAACTAGAGGGCATAGGTTTAAGGTGAGAGGGTAAAGATGTAAAAAGGACCTGAGGGGTAACTTTTTCACAGAGGAAGGTGCGTGTATGGAATGAACTGCCAGAGGAAGTGGTGGAGCATAGTACAATTACAACATTGAAAAGGCACCTGGATGGGTACATGAATTGGAAGGGTTTAGAGGGATAGGGACCAAATGCTGGTAAATGGGACTAGCTCAGATAGGAATATCTGGTCAGTGCAGATGAGTTGGACTCCAGGTCTGTTTCCATGCTGTATGACTATTTGACTCTATGATTGCCCTGTAATGTATTGAGGGTGATGGACAATGTCATTGCAAAATTACCGTGCAGTGAAGATACGGAATGACCCTGAAGATCCAGTGAAGTCCAGTTATGTCCTGTGTTTAAACAAAGGAGACTATGATGGGATGAGGGAGGAGTTAGCTAAGGTGAAATGGGAGCAAAAACTTTATGGTGGGTCAATTGAGGAACAGTGGAGGACTTTCAAAACGATTTTTCACTGTCCTCAGCAGAAGTATATTCCAGTGATAAGGAAGAACGGTAGGAAAAGAAATAGTCAGCCATGGATGTCTAAGGAAATAAAGGAAAGTATCAGATTAAAAAAAATACATACAAAAAAGCAAAGATTAGTGGGAAACTAGTAGACTGGGAAATCTTTAAAGGCCAACAGAAAGCCACAAAAAAAGTTATAAAGTAAAGTAAGATAGATTATGAGAGTAAACTAGCTCAGAATATAAAAACAGGCAGCAAAAGTTTCTATAAATATGTAAATCGTAAAAGAGTGGCGAAGGTAAATATTGGTCCGTTAGAGGATGAGAAGGCCAATTTAGTAACTGGGAGTGAGGAAATAGCTGAGGCATTAAACAGTTATTTTGTGTCGGTCTTCACAGTGGAAGACACAAATAACATGCCGAAAACTGATGGCAAGAAGATTATAGCAGGTGACGACCTAGAAACTATCATTATCACTAAGGAGGCAGTGATGGGCAAGCTAATGGGCCTAAAGGTAGACAAGTCTCCTGGCCCTGATGAAATGCATCCCAGGGTACTAAAAGAGGTGATGGGGAAAATAACAAATGCCCTAGTAATTATGTACCAAAATTCACTGGACTCTGGGGTGGTTCCTGCAGACTGGAAAACAGCCAATGTGACGCCACTGTTTAAAAAAGGAGGTAGGCAAAAAACAGGTAACTATAGGCCAGTTTGCTTAACTTCAGTAGTGGGGAAAATGCTTGAATCTATCATTAAGGAAGAAATAGCAAGACATCTGGATATAAATTGTCCCATTGGGAACACCCAGCATGGGTTCATGAAGGGTAGGCCATCTTTAACTAATTTGGTGGAATTCTTTGAGGACATTACTTGCATGGTGGACAATGGGGAACCTGTGGATGTAGTGTATCTGAATTTCCAGAAGGCATTTGACAAGGTGCCACACCAAAGGCTGCTACACAAGATAAAGTTGCACGGTATTACAGGTAACGTACTGGCATGGATAGAGGATTGGTTAACTAGTGGAAAGCAAAGAGTAGGGGTAAATGGGTGTTTTTCTGGTTGGCGGTCAGTGGCTAGTGGTGTGCCTCAGGGATCAGTGTTGGGACCGCAATTGTTTACAATTTACATAGATGATTTGGAGTTGGGGACTAAGTGTGGTGCGTCAAAATTTGCAGATGACACTAAGATGGGTGGTAGAGCAAAATGTACAGAAGACACTGAAAGTCTACAGAGGGATATAGATAGTCTAAGTGAGTGGGCAAAGGTCTGGCAGATGGAGTACAATGTTGATAAGTGTGAGGTCATCCATTTTGGTAGAAATAACAGCAAAATGGACGATGTTTGAAATGGTAAAAAAATTGCAGCACGCTGCTGTGCAGAGGGTCTTGGGTGTCCTTGTGCGTGAATCGCTAAAAGTAGGATTGCAGGTGCAGCAGGTAATTAAAAAGGCAAATGGAATTTTGTCTGCCATTGCTAGACGGATGGAGTTTAAAAACAGGGAGGCGATGCTGCAGCTGTATAGAGTCCTGGTGAGGCCACACCTGGAGTACTGTGTGCAGTTTTGGTTTCCTTACTTGAGAAGAGATATACTAGCACTGGAGGGGGTGCAGAGGAGATTCACTTGGTTGATTCCAGAGTTGAGAGGGTTGGATTATGAGGAGAGACTGAGTAGACTGGGATTATACTCATTGGAATTCAGAAGAATGAGGGGAGATCTTATAGAAACATAAGATTATGAAGGGAATAGATAAGGTGGAGGCAGGGAGGTTGTTTCCACTATCAGGTGAAACTAAGACTAGGAGGCATAGCCTCAAAATAAAGGGATGCAGATGTAGGACTGAGGTCAGGAGGAACTTCTTCACCCAAAGGGTTGTGAATCTGTGGAATTCCCAGCCCAGTGAAGCGGTTGAAGCTACCTCGCTGAATATGTTTAAGGCAAGGCTGGATAAATTTTTGAACAGTAAAGGAATTAGGGGTGATGGTGTGCGGGCAGGATAGTGGAGCTGAGTCTCAAAAAGATCAGCCATGATCTTATTGAATGGCGGGGCAGGCTCAAGGGGCCAGATGGCCGCCTCCTGCTCCTAGTTCTTATGTTATGTTCTCTGCAGTAAATCAATATTTTTACCATTCAAAAAGTGTACATGTATTCCTCGCAAACTATCATTCCTGAAGACAGATATATTTTTCCTGAATAGATCTCTACAATTCCACGACAGAGGAGAACCATCCAGTCTACGTTGCCTTCAGATGCTGAAAAACTAGCACAAAGCCTGCTGGTCAAAGAGGTATGACATGGAAGTTTATTGCAAATCATGCAGGATTATTGACTTTTATTCTGAAATTCCATCCCCTACCTCCATTTGTCTCTTTCTCTTATCAAAGTCAGGATGGTGTGTGGCCTGGAGGGGAACTTGCTGGTGGTAATGTTCCCATGTATCTGTTGCCTTTGACCTTCTGGTGGTGGAATTCACAGGTTTGGAAGGTGCTGCCGATGGAGCCTTCTTGCAGTACATCTTATAGATGGCACACACTGCTGTTACTGTGCAAAGGTGCAGGAAGAGTGAATGCTTATTTGTGCTGGGGTATGTGGTGCTGAGTGGCACCTTTCAGTTAGCGCTAACGGCTAAGAGCAGAAAACATGAATGATAATAAAGCACATTACATGGGAAATGAGAGATTAATATATCCAGAGGCAATTCACAGTCAATTTGCAGGATATTGTGGCTGATATCTGATATTTAATTTGTTTGTAAGTACAATACACAAAAGGATGAAGGCTCTTCAGCCAGTGAAAATAGTTATTCTATCAAAATCAGTGACAGTTTTGGGCACAGCTATTAAATCTACCCCCTAATCTTCCATGGTTAAAGGAGCCTATCCTCAGCTCTTTTAGCCCGTGTGACTGAAGATTCTCATATCTGGTACCACTGTAGCTAATCTCTTCAGTGGCATTCCAAGCCTTGACATCCCTCTTAAAGTGTGTTGCCTTGAATGCAGCCTAATAGCCCAGCTGTTGTATAGTCAGTTTTCTAGAACTGTCTAGCAGAATTTTCTCACTTTTTTTTTCTATTTCCGCATCACTTCAAAGTTCTATGATAAATTTCATTTGCCAGCCTTTTTTGCAGTTCTTTCTATATGTTCCTGAAGTCTTCTCATTTTGATTACATTTTTGCGATTTGTATCATTGGCAGACTTTTGAAAGCATGCCTGATATAGCCAAGTCCACCAATCAGTTATTCCATTCAACTGATCCCTGCTGACAATAATGCTTAATTTATTTCTCATTCTGTCTTTACTCACCTAACACCTATTTCATCTCCTCCATATGCTGATCTATTGCTTCAACCACTCCCTGATAGGGGTTCCACATTACAGATATATAGAACCAGAAAATAGAAGCAAAAGTGGGCCATTTGGCCCATCAAACCTTCTTCAACATTCAATATTTTCATGGCTGATCATCCAACTCATTACCCTCTTCCTGCTTTTTCCTCCATACCCTTTGGTGGCTTTAGCTCTAGGAATTATATCCGATGCCTTTTTGAAAATGAATGTTTTGGCCTCAAATGCTTTCTGTGGCAGAGAATGCCACAGACTCCTCACTCTGTAAAGAAATTTCTACACATCTTAGTCCTAAATGGCTGAGCCCATATCCTTACAAAACTAAATGTACTATCACAAAATCTGCAAATGTCACAAAGCTGGGTGGAAGGGTGAGCTGTGAGGAGGATGCAGAGATGTTGCAGTGTGATTATGGCAGGCTGAGTGAATGGGCAAAAGTGGGGCAGGTGTAGCATAATGTGGATAAACATGAGGTTCTCAACTTTGGTAGCAAAAGTTGGAAGGCACATTATAATTTGAATGGCTGTAAATTGATGTTCAATGAGACCTGGGTCTTCATGAACCAGTTGCTGAAAGTAAGCATGTAAGTGCAGCAGGCAGTAAAGAAAGCAAACTGTACGTTGGCCTTCATTGCGAGGGGATTTGAGTACGGTAGCAAAGATGTATTGCTGCAATTATACAGGGAATATTGTGTGCAGTTTTGGTCTCCTTATACGAGGAAGGATGTTCTTATCTAGAGGGAATACAGTAAAGGTTTACCAAATTGATTCTTTGGAAGGCAGATTGAGGAGAGATTGAGTCAATTAAGATTGTATTCACTGGTGTTTAGAAGAAGGAGGGGTGAATCTCATAGAAATTATAAAATTCTAACAGGACTAGACAGGTTAGATGCAGGAAGGCTGCTCCCAATTGTGGGGGAGGATAGAACCAGGGAGCATCATTTAAGGTTAAAGGGTAAAACTTTTTGGACTAAGTTGAGAGATTTCTTCACTGAATGGTGAGCCAGTGCAATTCACTACTGCAGAAAGTGGTGGAGGCCAAAACATTGTGTTTTCAAGAAGGAGGTAGACATAGCTGTAGTGGCTAAAGGGATCAGGGACACTGGAGGAGAGCAGAGTTAGGTATTGAACTTAACGTTCAGCCATGATCATATTGAATGGCAGAGCAGGCTCAAGGGTCAAATGGCCTACTTTTGCACATATCTTCTACGTTTCTATGCTGAAACTGTTACCTGTGGTTCTAGACTCCTCAGTGATTGGGAACATTCTTCATGCTTTTAACCTGTCTAGAATATTAAAGGTTTCTCACCACTTTCCGGATAAAGATGTTTCTCTTGAATTTCCAATTGGAATTCTTGATGACTGTCTTATATTGGCAACCACCAGTCCTGAACTAGGACTCATACATCCCTTTGTGCTTCAGATTTCCAAAGCCTTTTCCCATTTAGAAAATAGTCTCCGCTTCTATTCTTCCTACCAACGTGCATTGTCTCACAATTTGCCACATTGTATTCCACCTGCCACTTCTCACCTAGCATATCCGAGTCCTTCTACAGCCTCCCACTTCCTCAACTTGTCCCTTCACCTAACTTTCGTCATCTGCAAATTTAGTGATAATGTCCTCAGTTCCTTTGCTCGGATTGTTAATGTGTAACATGAATTGTTGTGTTCCCAACACTGACCCCTGCGGAACTCTACTAGTCACCGACTCCATTCTGAAAAAGACCTCTTTATCCCTAATATCTGCCTTCTGCCCATCTTCCAATCCTCTATCCATGCCAGTACCTTGCCCCTCACACCTTGGACTGTTACCTTACTTAGTAGCCTCCTGTGTGGCACCTTGTCAAAGACCTTCTGGAAATTCAAATAGACAGCATGGATTTTGCAGCCGCTCCTGGGATTGCAGGCTTAGTTAAAGATTTGTTAACAGTATTTTTACAGATATTACAGTCATTATATTTTACTAATACAAGAATGTTATTTATTTTGTTTCATTAACATTCAAAAAAACCAAACAAAAAATTACAATTTTTTTTCAAATGGACTTTTTTGTAAACGAGCTATTCAGGGTCTACAGTGAATAGCTGAGGTTTTTTATTCTAAATTCAGAAGTTATAAAGAATAAAGTCTGTGTTTTTGAGGTTTTCTTGACATTGCACAAGTTTTTTTGGAAAAACCAAACAATTCCTTTTAATTAAGGAGTTGTGTTTACGTTTGGGAATCCTACATGTGGTCGGCTCTGGTGAGGACTTTTTTTTTGAGGAGTTTATTGAAACGGAGTATTTTTTTCTTATTCAGTTAATCAGCTAAGTGGTTGATTTTATTTAAGTTTAATACGTTTGATGTATATATATTTTGAAATTTTTTTCCATTAACGTTATTTTCTGGAGGTAATGAAAGATATTTTGTTTTATATAAGGTGTTATTGAAAGTTCTTTTTTAGGCTTAATGTTATGAAGGCCATATGTCAGTGTTAGATGGCTAGTAGATTTAGAAAAGTTATTACACAGCAGGATCAGTCAGATAGATGGGTGACTATTGGAAAAGGCAAGAAGGTAGTTCAAAAGTCTCTGGTGGCCATTCCTCTATCAAATAGATATTTAGTTTTTGGAACTGTAGAAGGGGATAGTCTCTCCGACAAAAATGGAAGGAGCAGTCAGTTACTGGACACTTGGAATGAATCTTATGTTAGGCAGCGTTTGACAAGATTTAGTAGAATTATTATCATATGGGATTCTCCTATCAGGGGCATAGATGGGAGATTCTGTGGCAGTGAGCATAAATTTAGGATGGTTTGTTGCTTTCCTGCTGCTAGGATTAAGGACATCTCTAAAAGTTTCAAGCATATTGTTAAAATTGAGATTGAGAAGCCAGAAATTATTGTACACATTGGTGAGAATAACATTTTTAGGGAAAAGATTAAAGCAGTGCAGAGTGAATTTAAGAGATTAGGTAGAAGATTAAAAAATACAACCTAGAATGTGGTCATTTTGAGTTTACTCCCAATGCCAAACTCAAACGAGGAAGGGAACAAAAGATTAAGAGAGATAAATCAATGGCTGAAGAGCTGGAATATTGTTCAGGAATTCGGGTTTTTGGACAATTGGAATGTCTTTTGAGATAGAAAAGACCAGTTCAAAAGAGATGGGTCTAACCTAAACTGGAAAGGGACCAATATCTTAGCAGGGAAATTTGCTCATTCCATTAAGGGAGACTTTATGCTGATAGAGAGGGGCAGAGGAGGAATTTTAAATAGCAGTATAAATAGAAGGATTAATGGGGAAGGTTCTGAATGTGAGGAGAGCACGTCAGTTAGAAAAGAAAGACAAGAGAGAGTCAGAGTATGTAGTAAATCCGAAGAATTAAATTGCATTTATTTCAATGCAAGGGGTCTTGCCGGTAAGGCTGATGAACTCTGCATTTTTAAGAACATGGGATTTTGGAGGCCAAGGGTATTACAGAAACTTGGCGAGAGATGGGCAAGACTGGCAGCTCAATGTTCTGGGTTTTAGATGCTATAGGAAAGATAGAAAAGGAGGCAAGAAAAGAGGGGCATGGTGTTTTTGATTAAGGAATACATTACTGCTGTAACTAGAGAAGATGTTTCTGAAAATCATCCAATGAAAATATTTGGGTAAAATCAGAAATGAGAAAGATCACCTTGATGGAATTGTACTGTGGGCTCCCCAGTAGTCAGAGGGAAATTGAGAAACAAATATGTAGGGAGATCTCAGATATATGTAAGCATAATAAGGTTCTAATAATGGGGGATTTTAATTTTACCAACATTGACTGGGGTTACCATGGTGTTAAAGGTTTGGATACTGAAGAATTTGTCAAACGTGTTCAAGAAAATTCTCTAATATGTGGATGCTGCTACTGGGAGAAGGAGCAAAACTAGACCTTTTGGGTAATAAGGCAGGGCAGGCGACTGAAGTAAGAGT